ATTAAGTAGGTTATTGTCAGGTTTAATAAGGTTTATATATACGTAATTAGGATGAAAAAGTTTTTCTTATTTCGGATGGGCTACGGATTGTTGTTTTACCATTGCAGACCTAGTACATGCCCCGGAAGCTGGTATCTCTTCTTAGTGCGGCACCTTATAGGCGGATACAAATCGTCGCAGTTAAATTTAACGCCCAGTTTCCTTCCTCGAGGAAGACACCTGAGCTCTGACGATGTGAACCTGTTCTAGGATTTAATTTTGCCGAGAGCAACCAAAAGCCAGACACTCTAGGGATCTATTATATTCCGTATAATCATACGACATGGTCGCTGTCCTGCACCATGAAAACCCACCAACTTGGATAAAACTTGTCCTGCATGTGTAGAACGCATTTTGTGTGAATTAGCAAGTTTAAATACAGTTGAACCTGTTTTTGTGCGGTAGATAGGGACCGCATAAGAAAAAATCGCGCAAAAAAAATTTAAAAATTTCATAAATTCTTACATATAACAAACTAATTCGTGGAAATAATACAAAAAACTTTTTTTTATGCGGTGGATACGGCCAGCATAAGAAAAAACGCATTTATAAAATACGCCAATTATTTACGAAATATATGTAAGAGTCTTCCATAACAAAATAAATAATTAAATATTACGCATGGAAACATTTTTAAAACATATAGTTTCTCATTGTATATACGGGTAAGTCTTTAAAATGCATATAGATAATTCATCGCTACTCGTAATCCAAAGTCCTATAATGAATAAATTCAAAATCGCGCTTTCGTCACTTGAAGGTGCAATTTCAATTGATTTATTTTTTGGCAACATAAAGTAAGAGATAAGTTTTTGTGACGAAGGACGGGTGATCACACACACACACACAGGTGCTTGTAAATGTCACGATAACCAGCTATACATGATTGAAGCCCTTTTTGGAATTTTATACTCCTTTCAGAATTGGCATCTATTTTAAGAAAATGCTTTTCCAATTTGTTGGAAAGCTGGATCCCTGCATATTTTTATCCGCTCTCAAAGAG